TATAACATGTGGACAACAAACGTATGTAGTGGACCATATTGAATTTAGGGGGGGGGAGGTATTTGCTATATTAACTGTGACCATTGTATTCAAAACTGAAACAGTAATATTCAATAATAGTTTTGTGCAAGTCTGTTTCCTATTTAAAGGGGACCATTGAGTGTGCAGGAACAGCCTTTTTGAAGGACCAAATGATCTTTTGTTGCCATTATATTGTGTTAATATTTTTAAGCTTTACCAGGTTTCTAAAACTTTTTGATGTACATTTCAAATTAGTTTTAAAACTTTTAAGATGCATATATTTATTTATATAGTGCACATATATACATGTATAATATAAAGAAAATTTAATGAAGAGCCAGTACTTTAGGGTAGTTGAAAAGGAGAATCAATAATTTTTCTAAAAAAAAAGTGGGTTTACTTTTCTCAAAGATGGGTGTGCAGTGACAGTCTTGTTGAACCAGTTGGTTTCTTGTTTATATGTTTCACAGTTACCATTTGTGTAATTTTTCAGAAAAATGTTTCTACTGGAATGGATGACAAATGTACTTAGCTTTCTAGGTAAGTTTTATTTAATATGTATTTCTGTATTACTGTTTATATGAATACCATCTTAGTAAATAGATAGTTTATCAATTATCAGTATCTTCTTACCAAAACAAGCTACTTTCATCTATCAGAACTGTAAATAAAGTAGTTAATTTAATGCACCAACAACTACAGTAATGCACTTTCCAAATTTTATTTTATCCACTGTTTTGCCTTTGCGGCTTCACCAGGGTTAGTACATAAAACAATCTAGAGGAAAGAGGTCATTTTTTTTCTAAACTTTTTACAATGATACACAAATATTTTACATCTTTGCTTTTATTTAGGTCCAATAACTGTTTACTTTTGTTTTTAGAATAGTTAGGCTTGAATATGGAAGCACATTATGTTAATATAATATGTTGACACAAAATGATTTATAAGCATAATGAAGTGATTTGTTTTGGGAGGAACAAATTATATATTTCAATAAGCCTAAAGAATATGATTTATCTTTTGACTCAGTTATTGGAGTGTGTTTTTTGTAGTAACATTAAGATCTTGTGGTGTATATGTAAACACAGTAAAATAATCGAGGAATAGAACTGGGTACACTGCCTATGTACTTCGTAAGTTTCATGATATGATTTATTTTAAATTAAGGACTATAAATGTAATCCTCAATTATCAGTATTTCCTCCAGAATCAAAAGGAAAACCTCATAAGTAATAGACTAAGTATTTATAACTTTTTGTATATGGGGTCATATTTGTCACAACACAATGTTCCTTATGTAAAGAAAAATTTAAACAGGTGAATTTTCTTTATAGAAAAAGAACATGACTGATGGCTTGTATTATGTAAGTTGATTGGAAAAAATGGTACTAAATTTATCATATTCTATTTTGTAACTGGTAGTTGGTGTATAGACATGTCTAAAAAATATTGAGACCATTTATGAAAAGGAAAACAAATTTTGAATTAAAAAGCATGAGAAATACAATGTTTGGATAATAATTTATTTTGCTAGCCATATAAGCACTCTCAGTTGAGATAATTAGCCTAATAGCTAACTATGACTTTCTTAATTCTAAATCAAACCACAGCAAAAGATCTTAATCAAAGGTTTATAAACTTTGTTACATTTGTGGTCTAACCCAATAGCAATATTTTGTGATACTAGTGCATTGTATTTACAAATCGATAGTTAATAACGTACAGAGCAGGCCTATATTCATTATAAGTGTAATTCATATTTTTAAGCCAGTATCAGTGACATTATTTGCCAAAATTTTTCAGCACATAAGATATTAAAGTTTATTTTAAGAGACTGTTTACGTCACCATATTCTAGACTAAAACTAGAACTTATTTAATTTTCTCTTGTTGGTTAAACATAACACTTATGATTAATTTTTGATGAGCTAATCATTCTTAGGGAGAAAGAATACCATAATGAAAATTATTACACTGAAACTCTTCAGTATAGTCATAATTAAATGCAGTTACTTTTAAAACAGCAGTAATGACTCATATCAAAATAATTTAAAATTACATGTAAATGGTATAACCAAACTCTCATGGTTATTCACCTCTTTATCATTTTAAACTGAATTTTGATAAGTGCTTCAGCCTGAAAGTTGCATTTGTTTCCTGTCTCTTAGTGGGAAATCTGTAAGTTTACAGATTTACAATGCAAAAATTCAGTTTCATTCTCTTTCTTGGGCAAAATGCAGATAGTTCATTGTGTAACTTTGTATGAAGAAAAGATTGTTCTTGTACTTGTATATAGTCATTTTAACATAATATTTAAGGACAAAAGGCCTGTTGGTTTGTCTAGCCTGTCTCATCCTTTCAACTAAACTATTAAATAAAGAACAACAACAAAAACAACCCAGTATCAGACTTTATCATTCAAATACTTATCAAGCCTTTCCTTAAACTCTCTGACCCATTTCGAAGGCCAGTTATGTTATAAAAACAAAAGTTTTCCCTAATCCTACCATTATTACCATTAAGTATGTCACTATCAGTTCCTTTAAGAATTGTAAAACCTCAATCAGATTGCCCATAAATCTTCTTTTTTTCAAGAGAAAACAGCACACAAGATCCTTTTCTTCCAAAACAATGTTTAGATTATTTATCAAAGTTATACTTATAATTCAATGTTTAGATTATTTATCAAAATTATACTTATAATTTAATGTTTAGATAATTTATCAAAATTATACTTACAATTCAAATTATGACAACCTACATGCATTTAATATAATCAATCCTATCATGACAGGTCACATGTGAAAGGCCATGTCATTCCATTTGTTGACTTGAATTCAAAATTTTATTGATCTACTATTTTTATGAATTTATGTCAGTAAGTTTGGTATCAAATTGTAGATTATAATTCAACTTTTAGTATTATATGTTAGTTAATTTCTTAATTTAAAAGTAAATATTAAAAAACATAGCTAAACATTGATTTTTGTGTGTCACGTGGTATGTGGAATGCAGCACTGGTTCAAATTAGATGTTTGTGATGTCAAAATACAAAGTCTTTAGTTTCATAGAAATTAGGAACTCAAACTACCAATACTGAGAAGCTAGACTATAAAATAAGAACCTCTTTTCTATTTGCTAAGATATGGCTCATGTTCTGAATCAAGTACAGTGGCCCCCCTGCCCACCTCTTTCCAATTTGAAAATGCTCCCTTATATACACTTACTTCTATATATCACATGAATAACCAATTGAAAGCTCAGAATGTCCCCCTAGTGGTTTTCTCAGGCATTTTAATGAGTTATTGTGTTAATCTCTGTCTTTTCACACAAGATTTCAGGTGATAAGATTAGTCTTTAGTGAGCTCGAAATTTCAGCTCAGTTACTACACTTGATATATTATAGTGGAATTCTGTGGTATCAATATAGTAATTTATGATTTTTTTTGGCTATTTAAAAGATATATATATATATATATAAAACCTAAAAAATAAATTTTCTTTTCACATCCTCCACGTGGGAAATTTCATAAGGCTTAGTAATCTATGAAAAGCATAAAACGAGTACAAAGGTCATAACTACAAGAGATAATTGTTTGCTTTACTTCCTTATTTACTGTTCTGTGTTTAAAGAAAAATAAGTTTAAAAACTTATTTGTGAATAATATTTATGTATATACATATATAATGTATAGTAATTGAATTTTACAAAATATTAGTCCACTAAAATGCAGTCAAGACAGGTGGTTTTGAAAAGACTAAAGGTCAGTATTATTGGATATGGTATCACAAGTGCATGTGCATCATGTCATTGTAACTTCTGTATTGTTACCCTGGCATAGCTGGAAGGTCAATATAATAAAAATGATAAATATATATAAATGTATATAATGTTATGAAATTTAAGTTATTTAGACTAAACATTTGTTTTTGTGTTATAATCTGTAGTCATTCTGGAAAGAAAAAAGGATAATTTAAGTATATTTTCTAATTTTATTATGGTGGTCATTAGGCCAGTCAAATTGACAGACCCCATAGAGTTATGGTAGGGAAGATAACAGGAAATATATAAAGTTTTACTGAAAACAAGCATTTGAAATGTATTTAGGAGGTTTTAGAGATTACACAAATAATACTTGAGATTTTTGGGATGAACAATAGTTTTTATAACATAAAGATCACTTCACACTTGGACTAGTAATGAAACAGACTTGATATTTTCACAAACAAATTTATAGTAAAAATGCTTCATTAAAAAATCTGATTATTTATGTATGAAAGACTTGTAATTTTTGAAGATACACTTACTTTATTCAAAGTTATAGTATAAATGTTTAACTCATACATATTATATAGAGTCCATTGCGAAAGGGTTAAAAGCCATATGTCATTTAGTTGCTCAACTCAGCAAATGATCTAAATTATTTCTTGAAGCAATAGCATTTCCCTCACAGCCAGTGACATCAGCTAATTTCAGCAATTTATTGAGCATTCCTTCATCTTTGTCATTAATGTAAATCTAGAAAGAGCAAAGATCCCATAATAATGAGCCCTGAGGTACACCACTTGTGACATTAAGCCAGTTTGACTGAACTCTTGTATGACAACCTTCATCTTTTTTCTGTCCAAACACTTTTCTATTCTTCACACCTATACAGGTGATTTTTTTAGTCTTTTGTGTGGCACCTTGTTAGATTTTTGCTGAAAATTCATATACACTAAATTCACACACTTATCCTCATTGATATAAGAAGTAACCTCTTCAAAGAATATGGAAAGATTAGTAAGCTAAGGATTTTCCCTAGTGAAACCATGTTGACTATTCAACAAAATCTTAATCTTTGGTAAATGACTTTGCAAAGCATCCTTTATCAGATTCTCAAAATCTTTTCTCACTACTCATGTAAGACTAATAGACCTATAATATACTTGTGTATGGAAGCACATTATGCTGATATAATGGTAAATTGAAAAACAATAATTTATAACTATTAGGCCTGTAATTACAAGAACAGTTTTTATCATCTCTGTTGAAAAGAAGAATAACATTAGCCAACTTTCAATCCTCTAGGACTTGGCCCACTATTCAAGACTTGCAAAAAAATAGTAGTAAATGGCTTACATATACAACCTTTAATCTCCTTTTCAACCTTTGACGAAATATTATCTGGCCCAGGAGCCTTAACATTTTTTAAACTTCCAAAATTTTCTTACAAGGGCATAATAAATGATCTTATACTTGATTAGATTTTGTATGTTCAAGAGCTGTATTTGTGTCTTGAGTCTGTGTATACCTCTGAAGAAACTGTAAAGTAAAAAAAAAAATATGGGGTAGTAAAAATAGGTTCCCTAAAATTATACATTAATATTATTTTTTTAAAGAAAGTGTGGGATTTGATTATTTATAATGTATGACTGCAATTAATTTTTGTTTTCGTATGTTAAATTGGGTTCTCTTCATAAAAAAATTAGAACTAAATTGGAAGAAAAGTTAAATTTTGACATAACATGTAAATTCCTAATTGTAGATGCATGTAAATTATAATTGATGTGATGAAATTCAAAATTATTTTGGAGGTTATGTTTTTTAAGTTAAAGTTGAGATTGGAAATTCTATGAAGTACTTAAAACTAATTGTTGGAAACAAATTGATTAGGTGTTATGACAGTAACTTCATGACATTTGAGTAATATGTACATAGTACTGGCTGACAAATACATATAAGTGATGAACTCAACTGTTGTAACTAAAACTTAACACAAATAATATCCTCATACCTTTGTTAGTTTCATTAATTGTATTAATTAACTGTCAATGATAGATTCATAATAGTAGTTTTTGAGAGTGAGCTTTAGTTGATATTGATGGAAAGTTATATCTTTATTTGGAAACTAGGATTATGGAAGAAAAGTGGAAAGCTTTTATTCCTTGGTCTGGATAATGCTGGTAAAACAACACTGCTGCACATGCTTAAAGATGATAGAATGGCTCAGCCTGTACCCACCCTTCATCCAAGTAAGTACATCTTTCAGCTTAGATATACATCTTTAAGGGATAATTTTTTAACTGCCACTTGTTTAATAAGACTAATGCTCATTTGGCATAAGAAAGGAAAAAAAATTAACAGATGCATGACATGCAAAGGAAGTTAATAGAGAAAATGACTTATGTAACTGTTCCTATGCTGCTTATTGTGAACCATGTCACATGGTTTCTGTGAGAGCTCATTTAAGAGTCCTTTTTTGTGATTTGAAATTTCTGTTTTACTGATCATGTCACAATCGGAAATCACCGATTGCCGATTATTATGGCACACAATCGACTCAATTGTGATTGCCAATTCCAATTATGTACAGTACTACAGTATTGTGTAGTATTGTTGACAGTTTAACCTTAAAAATTGCAATGACTACAGAGAATGTATCTTGAAGATTCCTTAAATTTGAAGTGGTTGAAATTATCAATAAATGTGCAATGCTTAAAATTAAATTATGATATTTTCAGTTTTTTAATTGAACCAGTGAAAAATAAAAATGGGAACTGACTTTTTGACTAGTACATGATCGATACATAACATTATATGACTGTTGTGAGAGACAAACAGATTTTTGAGGTTCATTGCCTAAATTCGTCATTCACTTCAGCCATAAGTTAGAAGACTTTTGTTATCACTCTACACATTTTGAACTAAACTACTTTCTAAAATAAATGAAGTGTTCCAACAAAAGGTCAAATAAAGTGACAGCATTTGAAAGTTTTCTTTCATAATCCACTGTGATTCTAAGGCCTCCATGTAATGTAATGTAGGCTACATGCACCTTGTGTATGCTGAGGAGTGTCAGTGTATATACTGTAATGCATAAATTTGGGTGTGTATGTGGCATGAATGTTCTTCCATCCATGTACTAACTTCAACTTGTACACAAATTGTATGTTACAGGGTTATCTGTATACTTTATCATATGTGGCTCTATTGTGCTGAGAACAAAGCCATGCCACAAATCAACCTTTCCAAAAGTAAATTGTAGGGCACAAACTTGAGAAATGACCAGTGCTGCAAGACATACATTGTGAAAAGAGCAAAGAAAAATGTTTACTCCTAAGAACTGGTGAACTGAGCATAAAACTTCCAGTGCAGGAAACTACAGTTTGGTATTAATGAGGTTTCATATGGTGTATCAGCTTGAGAACATCACGGGAAAAGTCTGCGTAGTTCTCTGGCAATCACACAATGTGTATTAGCTCTGTGAAATAGGGTGCTGTTATTAATCATTTGCTAATGTACAGTTTGTAAAGAAATGGATGTTCTTCGTGATGTGCGGAGCATTGTTTTTGAACCTTTTATTTAGTATAGACAGACAGATTGTTTTAATTAATGATATTTTATTGTGTGGTGAATAATGTTTTGTGTCAAAAGAAAAAAGTACAGGGTCATGATTGTAAGCATACTTACAAATCAGAAGATTGTTATTGTGAATAAAGTGGTCTGGGTGGTATTTTTAGTTTCTCAGCTCAATAGTCACTCAATTATGCAATAATTGGCCTGTATCCAATTGACAAACTGATTCTCAGTAAAATACTGTTTGAAACACCACGTGTGTAAACACCCACTGTTCATAAGTGAACCGAATGAAATTATTTATATACAATTTTTAATATAAATGGTTTACATTTTCACTTGTATATACCTAAGCTTACACATTATACACCAGTTTTTTTTATTAAGTGTAGTCATACTGCTTAGGAATATGCCTCTTTTTATGAACTAATTTGTTGAAAGTTATCAAGCATCAGTAAAATACTATTTGAAACACCACGTGTGTAAACACCCACTGTTCATAAGTGAACTGATTGAAATTATTTATATACAATTTTTACTATAAATGGGTTACATTTTCACTTGTATATGCCTAAGCTTACACATTTTACACCAGTTTTTTTATTAAGTGTAGCCATACTGCTTAGGAATATGCCTCTTTTTATGATCTAATTTGTTGAAAGTTATCAAGTATCAGCAAATTGAATCACTTATTAACCATATGCATTCCAGCCTGATCAATTTGACCAACTTTGTAACCATACAACTATACATACTAGAAATATAGTAAGTGTACATTTTACCCAAAAAAATCAGGTTTTGTAAGAGTGTTTTTACTAAAGATATGTCTGAATTTTAAAGCCATTACTCAGTCAGTCTGAGTGAGAGGTGACATTTATGTTAAGAATAGAAATACTTTTCATCTTAGTTTTTATTTCATTTGTATAACTTCTAGAATCTTCTAATTGAGTATCAAAAGTTTTTGTTATAAAACTTTATACTTTCTCCTATTTTATTTATTATAACACTAACTGTAGCAAAATCAATAATTTATAATAGAATTTTTCTAGAATAACTGCATGTTACAACAGATAAATAGTTATTTATCTTAATAGGCTTAACTTTTGGTATTTCACATCTATCTTTTTTTTACTTTTGTTACTTAATAGTGTACTTTGGACCCTCTCAGTTTGTGAAAGACAGTAAATAACAATACTAGAGCTTATAGTATAGTATGAGCTGATATTGTAAAATTTTATTCATTTTAAAATTTTATCTAACCTAATAAGTGTTTAATTTTAACATTATAGTAATTTTTGTTAAAAATATATATATACCAATAAATAAAAAATAAACAAAAATAAATGAGCACATATTTTAGGCATTCAGGTCATTTGCACTTGGATGTGGTGCTTCAGTAATTCTGTTTTTTTCTGGCTATGTTGGTTTTCCAGAAATAATTTTAAATTTGCATATTATAACACAATAAATATATTAGGCACTAGAATAGCATATCTCAAAAGTACTGTAATATAACTGGTTTCTAGCTAATATACAAATAGATTAAAATGTTATTACTGCTCTGAGCAGCAACATTCCTCAAATAACCAGTTTTGCTTGTGAACTGTTGACTCTGACCATTAACACAAAACAAATGACCATAAGAGTTCTGTATAATACAATATGCTCTTTATATTGATTATAAACATGTTCCTTAAATATGTACACATGGTTTAGACAACTAACCTAAAGCTATGATAAGGTGGGAGGAGCTTCTCTGGTAGGTTTGACAAATTTATTGATATTTAAGCAAATTGAGAAAGTAGGAGGTTCAAATTTTGCATACTGGCCTGCCACTATCTATAGTTTGTAACTAGCTGAAGGTACTGAAACTCACAAGTGTAGAAGGAAAATCTATAGGTGAAAATTCATAGAGCAAGATGTGTCATGTGACAAAGAAAAGAAGATTGACAATTTATTCAAATATTTCCTTTTGAAATTATAAAAAATAAGACTTGGATAATATAAATAAATTTGAATTGTGAACTACATTTTATGTGAAGTTATGTACGTACATTGATATTAAATTTAACTGTATTTATATGGGCATCCTTTTCTGCGCAAGTCATAAGGTTTTAGTGAATTACATTCAAAAGTTAACCCTTTCCAGATGGGTCACAGGTGAAAGGCCATATCATTGCATTTGTTGACTCGCATTCAAAATTTTATTGAACTACTATTTCATGAATCTTGGTGAATAAGTTTGGTATCAAACTGTAGATTATAATTCAAATTTTAGTATTATACCTTACTCAATTTCTTAATTTAAAAGTAAATATTAGGAAACAAAGTTAAACATCAGTTTATGTGTGTCCACGTAGTATGCTGAATATAGCACTGGTTCAAATTAGATGTTTATGATGTCAAAATACTAAGTCTGTAGTTTTGTACGAATTAGGAACTCAAATTACCAATATTGAAAAGGTAGAATATAAAACAGGAGCCTCTTATCTTTTCAATTTGCTAAGATATTGCTGATGTAATAAATCAAACACAGTGGCACCCTGCCCACCTCTTTCCATTTTTGGAAACGCTCCCTTATATACACTAACTTCTTTACATGATATGAATAGCCAATTGAAAGCTCAGAATGTCCCCCTAGTGGCTTTCTCAGCCATTTTAACATGTTTCAATGCCATCTCTTTTTGTTCGAACCAAGATTTCGAAAAGGTAGGTTGTATTTTTAGTCTACTCAAAATTTCACATTTTTTTAGACTGAAATGCAGCTTAGTTACTGAGCTTGATAAATTATAGTGGAATTCTATGGTATTGATATAGTAACTTATGATTTTTTGTTTATTCAACTGTATATATAAAACCTATAAAAAATTATTTCATTTCATATCCTTCAGATGCAAAATTTTAAAAGGCTTTGCAATGTACCTGAGATAATTGTTTGCTTTTCTTCTCTATTTACTGTTCTATGTTTTAAGAAAAGTAAGTTTAATAACTTATTTCTAAATAGTAATAATCTATATACATATATAATGTATAATAATTGAAATGTGACTGTATTTTACAAAATCATAGTCTACTAAAACACAACCAAGACAGGTCACTTTGTAAAGATTAAAGGTCAGTTTTATATTATTGGATACGGTAATATGAGTGCACATGTGCCACGTTATTGTAAGTTCTATATTGTTAGCCAGGCATGGCTGAAAGGTCAATATAATAAAATTAATAAATATGTATATAAATGTATAATGTTATGAGATTTAAGCTATTTAGTATAAATATTTGTTTTCGTGTTATAATTTGTAATCATTCTAGAACGAAAAAAGCATAATTCATATTTATTTCCCAATTTTTTTTAAATATGGTTACGAGATTAGTCAAATCGACCAAATCCGTACAGAGATTTGTTACTGAAAATAACAGATAAAATATAAAGATTTTTCGTAAGAAATGTTTAATAACTATCTAGAAATTATAAAGATTTTGCATGTGAAATTTGAAAAGTTCTGATGCACAAAAGTATTTTTGATCTTAAAATGCAAATTAATTTGCATGTTAGATAGGCAAAATGCAAAAAGAAAAAACAGGCATGAGAAAAACATTCCTTTACAGACCGTAAGACTTAAAAAAAGTTTTTTATATTTTGCATATGAAAGCATTGTAATGTTTACTGATAATC